TGTTGTGTGGTTGAGGGTCGAGGGCGACTTTGTTGGGCGTTAACTGTGATGTGTTTAATGAGACAAGGGCTACCGATAGTTATTGTGGAGTCATCCGTGATTTCGGAGTCATCAAAGTTCAGCGAACGATAAGTTAGAAGGCCTTTACTGGGGACATTCGCATCGTTTTAACCGCTTCAACATAGTACTTCATGGAGAAAGCTTTTTCTTTAAACTGCTGTGAGGGCTTCCGTGACAAACTGAAACTCGGAGCGTGCCGTTCAGTCGCTGCATTTATTTAGCAACCGAAGCAAGCGACGTCGGTACAGTCAATGGTGCTCCGGCCGATTTTTTTTTTAAATTGATGTTCAAACGCTTGACGAATGTCTATTTGATCTCCAAGAACCCGACATCAAATACTTTACTAGGGGGAATACATTCCACTCTGCTCATTTGCATTAGACAGAACGCCTACAGCGCCGCTGACGGTGTGGAGGTCCGCGTCAGTCCACGCGCATGTGCACGTGGATGTTCGCGGCGGCCGCGGCGGTGTCGTCTCCGCGAGGTGCGTCGATGCACGAGGCACGTGCAACGCGCAACCCTTGGGAAGATTACGGCGGCACAGCGCAGCAAAGTATTTGGCGCAGCACTGAGCTATACTTCGGTTCACCTTATCTGCGAGCGAAGGCAAAGCTAAAAGCGCGAGAGCAGCGCTTTTTGCGTTTCTTCCCAGCTCGCGCGCTCGAGCTTTCGTGCTCGCGCTTCCAGCTTTGCCTTCGCTCGCACATAAGGTGAAACGAAGTATATTTACCGCCCGGTAGCCGAGACCTCCACGACGATAGATGCCTCTCGCCAAGCCTAGAAACGTTGTCCGCGCTGTAGCTATTGTATTTGAGAGGAGTGGAATGTATTCCCCCTAGTAAAGTATTTGCCGACATAATCATCGCACACGTCATAAAATGCTAGCCCTAGAGCACCGCGTAGAAGCTTCCAATTTGTGCGTGTTTCTCCCTTAGACTTGCGTGTATTGTCTCATGGTGTAATACGCCAAAACAAAAAGGACGGAAACGAAGGGAGAACTAGACAGGGCGCAGCGTATTGCCTGTCGTCAAGCAATGGCCGCCGGTGAGGCGCGTGACGAACTCCCGATTCGCGATCTAGACTTGCACTGTGAGAGTTCTAATGTATTACACCCGCGGAGCGCTGCACGGAGAACAGGCCCCAAACGAAATTGCCGGATGCACCGAGCGCAGACTGATGCTGTCGCCATAGATGTTGTAGAGAAGTACCGACCTCAAACCGAAACTAGCGCCTTTTTGTTCGACGTGATGGGTGGGAAAGTGAGAGTGCAGTCGCTGCCATTGTTTATCTATAAACGTTGGTTGCTGCAACGTGGAACTTACATTTGCAATAACTTCCAATTAAGCAACTCGGCTGTCGGAGATATCTACAGACGGCGTAAGTTTCCGAAACCAGCTGACTACAAAACAGCATACACCTGAGAAAAGTGATGGCACTGTACGCGCAAGAGCTCCCACTGAAAGGATACGGCTTAAATCTAGTTCTTTGGAAGATCTAGCAATAGTAAGACTTTTTATTTCCCTGGTGAGGGCATTGAGAACGAGAGCTTTCTCAAAACAAAGTATGACGGGGCAAGATAGCTGCCGTTCAAATATGACTTTGCTTGAGTCTCGGGCAACGTCTCCATGTTTAGCCTTCCTGGACGCTGAGTGAATGCGTCACAGGTTTCTGCTGTGGGAGCTTTGTCGAAAAATGTTCCACCTTTCACCCATACATAAATGATGCTAGATCTCGCGGCCACTGTGGTTGTCCTGGGCTTTTCGTTACACACTGCTAGGTTAAAGCGTATGTACGGCTACAAAACGACTCAAATTTTGAAAATAAAACACGGGCCGTCGATTCCTCCCTCCGTGAAATATCAGAAGCTTAAAATTCAAGCTCGCGTTTGTGTTTGTGGCCCGCGGGACTTGATTTCGAGCAGAAAACCAACTTTTTCTTTCAGTTCCACCGTGCGAATGCCGCATCGTGGCAGACGAACTCTCGTCGTCTGCTCTCGCTCCTTGCCTGGGCGAGGCATGACGGGATTGTCGTCGCTAGAGGGCTCAAAGACAACGTCCAGCGAACGGCGTGAACGCTCGCCTCCCCGCGCTGCCTCGTGCTCTCGTGCACCGCCTAGGGATCGCAGGGGATTTTTCGTCAAAAGTTGCGAGGTTGAGCGTGCGCAGGGAGGAGGAAACTTTGCGGCGTTCTTTTGTTCACTCCCCCCGCTACGTCAAAAAGCGAAGAATGTTTTGCTCCACGAGTTTAGCTACCCTGGAGTGGAGAAGGTGAAACCTCCTCCTCCGTCCAGCGCTCCGCCTTCTTCCTCCTCCCGGGCCTTCTTTTCCCTCGCCCTACCTTCTTGAGTTGCAACGGACTATATTGACGTTCTGAACTTAAGTCGACTTGATGCCGTCAGTCACGCGACTACGCCACGGGACCACGTGGCGTGACATTATTGTCACGCCACGTGGACAGTTGCGAGCCTATATTGTGGATGTTTACACGAACACATTCATCTGCTCACGTTCTTCGTTCGGTCAGGTTCAGCGGCGAAACGACTGAAATGATGCCGGGGGATGATTACGGATGTCTTCGGCCGTACTGGACGTACCCGCTGATACTAGATTGCATAAAAATAAAGCAATGCAGAGAGCAATGCGTGAAGGCACAGTGAAGAAGCAGGTCGACGACCTGACTAACAATGTGCTGAACCACGGAGAGCGGATGAACTCGCATGTTTAGTGCTCACTGTGAGGTTTACTAGTACACCGACGTTTTGTGAAAATTGCCCACCGGGAAAACCCCTGTAAGGACGAATGGAATGCAACAAAGAAGCGATTTTGTCTCCATCGGGTTTCTGAAAGAAATTAAGTACTCGAGAGATGTTTTGATGGTTCATCCTATAGGCCGAGTAAAACATTTTTTTTCAACTATACGCCCTGCAAAAATATTCATTAGCAGCATTTCACAATGTTGATCTTAAGAAACTATTTGTTATACGGGCATTTGTTTACAACGTATTGAGAACATAAAAAAAGAAACAAGCCCGTCATAAAAAAAAAAAAAAAAAAAAAAATCTGACGCTTGTTTTTTTGTATACATGACTTCCACATGCCGTCATCTAGAGGACGTGAAGAAGGACCTCCCTTCTTACCAGTACCCTCTTTTGTGTCTCCCAGATTTTCCTAGACGGCTCTACTCTTCTTCCGGAAAGTTTGGAGAAGATGCTCCCGTCATTCAAAAGGTTTACAAAATCAGCTAGCCTCTCTCTTTCTTTCGTGCTGGCCAAAAGAAAGCGATGTGATATTAGTACAAGCAAATAAAATTAAACGGCGCAAGAGAGATTACCTCCTCCAGCAAGCTTGGTTCGTGTCAAATGCCACGCACCACTTCATGAAATTGGGTAGAAATAAACATTTTTTTTAAAGAGACTATCCTTTTACTTTCAGCGGCATTGAGAGTAAATCCAGTATCGACAAGGCTGCACTCTAATGATTTTCATGCAGACGGCTTCCTTTCGGCGTCGCAGCTTGTGTGCCTCTGGCGCTTTTGTCAGGCACTCACAAGCTACTTTTGACAAGTTTTTCCCCCGGGGAGCCCAGCCCTTCGTGTCTAAATAAGTAATTGTATTGAGAAGATGAAACGACTGCAGGCATGAGACCGAGCACAATGGATAGTTTTTTTGAAGACATAAATAAACAGAACAACAGAGTGTTTATATCGCAAAAATGATTCCCCCATATAATCAAAAAAATATTTGAATTTGTCATGAAGGAAAATAATGATGCTTTCGAGAAACACACATAGTGACTCCTTGCGTTTATATCATAAATGCCTGATCTTAAATAATCCTTGCTCTTATTATTGTGCCACTATCACTTAAGCAATACTGCGGTTTCATAAATAATTGACCTTTCAACCCTAGTGTGTCTTAAAGTCATCTACATACACAAATGGGCGAAGTGCTGACGCTGATATATTTCCTTAGACGTATCCGGTACGTCGACGGTGAAAATAGTGGAAACGTGATACAAAATCGAGTGCAGAAGTTCTGCACTAAATTATAGCATGCCGTTAGGTATAAAATTAGGTATCAGACAACAATTCAAAAACCGAGGAAAAATATCGATGTAAAACACGAAGAAATACACGGAGAAAACGTCTTCGCGAAGGCGCGGAGGGGAGGGAGGATCGAAGATTTGAAGCAACCTTGTGGCTTCCGGTTCACGCGAATTCAAGATGGCAGCGCCGAAAAGACGAAAAGTAAAAACGTTCTATAGATACCGCGGTAAATTCTTCTGCTGTTGTGTAAAGAGTGTAAACCGCTAAATTGCACCGCAAATGCTGACATTCTTTGCCCTGGCACTTTGTGAATGTGAACGAAGAGGTGCCAGGGGGGGGGGGGGGAGATTGGCTTTTACAGCCTCTGTTGTAAAAAAAAAGAACATTGTAAAACGAAAACATTAAATTATGCGATTTTAGCTCATGTAAATGTAACTTTTTCATATACACTCAGGTTAAAGAGACCTATCAACCAGATTCAAATTACGAAATTTAACAACATGCTGTTAGAAAGAAAGAGGTTGCAGCATTGTATTCTTGTTCTAGTGGTTGATGATAGCCCGGGTAGCACGAAGGAGAGCCCGTGTTCTTGCTTTGTTTTCGAAGTACCGTCTTTGAAAGACACCGTTGTCCACAGATAAAATATACGCGCAGTGACTTTAAACAACCTTACCTAGTTTCCAACCCATAAAATTTTCAATAACCTTACAACATTTTGAAAGACTACATTCAGTACTATTGGAATATTCTAACCTTGGCCAAGCTTCAAATCAATTTTTAGCATGCCAAACGGGCACTAACACTATACACAACCGCAAGCTATTTTTTGGATTTACAACAAGTCGGGGAGGTATGGCCGTCATAATGATGCAAATGAGTAGGTCGCAGGTCCTTACCACCATGATCATCTCCAGGGAGTAGAACAGAACGTAGAGTCCTTGCACTGCGGTGATGGCGGACATGAGGTAGTCCCGCTTCCAAGGAGCGTCGCTGCTGCTCAAGAAGTTGGCAAGACCGCTGAGCAGCAGGACGAAACCCGTGGCGACGAAACCCACCAGAACGTGGAACCATCCCTCGGTGAGCATGGTAGCCAGTAGGCTCGCCTGGACACCATTCACACGGTAATAAATCCGGTACTTTATGTAACTTCGGCACTTTTCCCTTAATATTAAGGTTATGACTCTTTACATTGGAGGAAGTGTTCCTGAATTTCGAGGTGTCATTTATTATTGATGCCTCGTGTAGTTTTGTAGATACCTTATCCCAAAGTTTGTTTTGGTGGTCCACAGCAAAACCGAAACTACCGGCTCAAAAAGATGGCGACGCTGCTGATCAGCTGCATAGTGATCGTGTTGCGCAAACTTCCTAACGCGGTACAGCAAAACGTACGACTGGCCTAATCAGAAAAACAGTTCCGATCAGTCAGGTAAGATGCTATGGCAGTGTTACTGCCTTGCTTCGTAGATATCGAACATAAGCAGGAAAAAGAGATTTTGCCGCGATAAATAGGTTTCTTTTTACTGGATGCAAAAATTGACCGCGGTGTTTACAGCGCAGGCTCAGATCAAGCCCCCACTTATCTTCTGAGAAGAACTGCAATATTCTGGTGACGTGCGACATACGGTGCAGAAGCTTTGTGGAAGCTTATTTTCAACTCACACCGACGAGAAGCAAGCTCAAATGTGTCCCCCAGTGAAGGTTTAGGAACCTAGGGCCTTCCGAAAACTCTTCGACGAACGGCGCCGACCCAAGACAAGCTTGAGCGAGCAGGGAGTCAAGAATCTTCGTGCGCTGTCGGTGAGAAGCGTTCACAAACGACGGCCGCTAATGCATAACCTAAGCAGAGATCTACCGCTGGGACGGCTCAAAATGAAGCAGATCAGGGCGAAAGAAGTTTTAGTAAACTCAATTGTAACCTACTTGAGCACGAACATGACGTCGTGCCATAATTTTTTTGTGGTAAACAGTAAACCGGTGAATGCCCGCTGATAATGTGGAGGTAGCATTTTTAATATCGGTTTTAGAGTGGACAGCGGTTTCCCATTAGTGTAATAATTTGGCATAGCTGGCATTTAGTCTCCGCGAATCGATATGAGTCATATATTTTGGTTTTGATTTTGACCAAAGTTACTCTTTAAAGGGGTACTCCGGCGATTTTTTGAGCTACCCCAACTAACTATATTTTCTGACCCCCCGGCCTTTACCCTTTCCGGTATGCTATTTAATATAGCAAAATTCATAATACGTATTGCGATATCAGCAAATGAAAATGAGGCAAAAACCAACATTGAAATATAGACGCTTTCAGCGAGTCAGTTACTCGAGCTGCCACCAGTCGGCGCGCCCTTCGCGCGCTCTCGGGGCCGCCATAGCCGACCTTCAGTTTCTCGCCGTTGCTCCGCGTTGTGTGCTGCGCAGGCCACTACCGGAGCTTCTTTTTCGTGTTCATTTACGTTCCGCGTTGAAATCTTGCACTTTCTTTGGGTCTTTCCGCTATTTAGAACTTTCATTTAATCATTTGATATTTATATTTTGATATAGCTCTTGTATTTTCTTATTTATGGAATGGAATCGGACAGCGAATGGGTCGACGATACTTATGAGGCTTCAATGACCATGTAAGTTCATCCCATTCTTACGTTTTTTGTCGCTAATAAAGAGAAGCCAACACTATTGCGACATATGTGAATTGCAACTGACGCAGTAAGGCTATCGCAGTCGTGCTTCTCGCTGCATGTGCGCGCTCGTTTCCGTAAAGCCGACCCGCATGTCAGCGATTTAGCGTGCGACAAAACGAGCGACGGAGATTTTTTTTTTTTTTACTTACAAATACGAATTTAACAATCATTTTTCCATGTAAGTTTAAAAAAATAATCTACGGTCACGCGTATTAAGCGTTGAAGGGGAAACGCCCGGAACATCACTGCGATTCCTTCGGAGACGAAGACAAGTTTGTTTTTCGGGGTAGGGAGGAACCATAAAGGCGATAATTGCAATGCGTGTGGCAGCTAGCTGAAAATGGCACCACCAGAGGAAGAGAAAGACACACCGGGGGCATGCGCAAATAAAAAGCTTCCATTCCGAATTGCCATGCCTGTTGCATCGCTCGTTTTTTTGGGGCTTTTAGAAAACGTCGCTCACCGTCTTGGTCGCTTGCTCCGTCACTTCCATGCGGTTTTCCTCGTCGCGCGACTGACTGAGCGACAGCAAAGCGGGTCGCCGTCGCTTATCTGGTCGCTCGCCAAATCGCTTACATGCGGTTTATACTCAATTAATTTCCATGCACACAGCAGTGAACCATTGGCGCCTCGATATTAAGTATAAACCGCGTGGGAGCGATTCGGCGAGCAACGAGACAAGCGACGGTGACCCCCTTCGCTGTCGCTCGGGCAGTCGCGCGCCGAAGCAAACCGCATGGAAGCGACGGGAGCAAGCGACCAAGACGGTGAGCGACGTTTTCTAAAAACCGAAAAAACCGAGCGATGCAACAGGCGACAGTGAGAAATCTTCGTCGCTGACTCTCGTCGTTGTTGCCGTCGCTCGTCTCGTCGCACGCTAAATCGCTTACATGCGGGTCGGCTTTACGGAAACAAGCGCGCACATGCAGCGAGAAGCACGACTCGATAGCCTTACTGCGTCAGTTGAAATTTGCATATGTCGCAATGGTGTTGACTGCCCTTTATTAGCGAGAAAAACGTTAGAATGGGATGAACTTACATGGTCTCTGAAGCCATAATCGTGTATCGTCGATCCGTTCGCTGTCCGATTCCATTTCATAAATAAGAAAATACAAGAGATATGTTGAAATATAGATATCAAATGATTAAATGAAAGCCCGAAATATTGAAAAGACCTAAAGAAAACACACGATTTCAACGCGGAACGTAAAAGAACGCGAAAACAAAGCTCCGGTAGGGGCCGGTGCAGCACACAACGCGGAGGAACGGCGAGAAACTGAAGGGCGGCTATGGCGGCAGGGTCACGTGACGCCAAGATGGCGGCGCCCATGAAATGTTGCCTGAAAGGGTCTATACCCGCACTTTTCAGTGCCGTGACGTCAGTGGCGGGCAGGTTTGCCAGTCGAGCGAGTAGTCGAAAATATAGAATATGCCAATCATTTGTTCCGTGCTGAAGCGCGGGTCCTGGAGCGAGCTTCAAAAGCATTCATTTGACACCATGAAACTGCGTCGAATCAGTTGGGAACAAATTCTACAGTCGAAAGAGTGAACTCCAGCACTTCCACTGACGTCACTTTTTTGTTTTTGCCAGTGGAGACTTTCAGTTTGAAAAACACGGTGAGGATCGAAATTGTAAATTCAATAACTTCGTTGAAAAAATTATTTTAACCTAATGTTTGGGATACTATTTTAGCGATGTTGTTTGGCGAGTTTAGCAAAATTACAAGCAAATCGGGGACCATGAAGAAATCGCCGGAGTACCCCTTTAAGGGTAATGAATTCAGGGCAGATGTCGTGGCTTTATAAATAATAAATAAACATTTCCTTTTTTTATTACAAAGCAAAATCATATTGAACGATACGAGCCCTATCCCAAATTGCAATGCAAAGCAAGCTAACAAGAAAGAGAAAAATTAAATTGCTTAATTAGCGGACTTAACAAACTTTAAGTGCTTAAAGACCGACGACCAGGCTCGAGATATTGCAAGGCAAAAGATCCTTCTCACCATAGGTGAGGAGGAAACAGGCAACAATGGACAGGGTAGAAAGGGGAGAGGAGGAAGCGAGGGAAATTGGAAACACAAACAAGGGGTCGGCCTTCAACATTTCGCTATCTTATATTCGTAATATACACATTAAACTCACACAATAATGCAGGGTGCGCCATAGCTACTGAAAAGGAAGCTGAATACGTCCTTGAATTCGAAGAAACAGTAAAAGTTGTAATGTGAACACTTTAAAATTAAGTGTCTTAAGTTTCATTTCTATCCTATTTGTAGGAGCAACATAATAGCCAAAACAATTTCAACGTAGACCCGCACGTTGCGGCGCGCCGACGGCAGGAGAGCGCGAGAGCAGACAGAAAAACTAGCAAAAGGAAACGAAAATACAGTGAGGGCGCAGGCCATCTGGTGCAAGTTTGACATTTTGTTAAAACACCTGACTTGGTTAGAAAATTTCGAAAGAACCAACAGTAGGAGGGACAGAAGAAAGAAGTCTGACTGCCTTCTTTTCCTCTCTTTCGTCGGCTTTTGGTTTATTTGATATTTTCCCACCCAGTCTCAGCTGTTTTGACACAATGGTAGCAAAAGTGACGTCATCAGCGTGGTCAGACGGTCCTTGCTCGCCTCTGAGCTGGATCGGGGACGCCGTCATTAACGTCACGACTCTCTGGACTGATAATAGGCGGTAGAGAGGATCGTCGCATGCCCGGCGAAAATCGCTGCACACATTTTTAAGCTAAATGCGGTTCACGTTTACTTCCACCCAAGATAAGTGCGATGTCTGAATTCACGGGACAAAGAAGCTATAGAAGCCCGCTCATAACTCATACTTGTTGATAAATGCTTCAGTCTCACTTTATTGAAAACATCGCGAGCTGAAATTTATCCAAGCGGACTGAAGCCAACACTGCATTTTATATCCTTTCTGACCAAAAAAAAAAAGTAGAGTATTCTGTTTACACTTCAAACTGACCAGTCTATTCTCCTATGGAAAAAGTGCATATAGTATGGTATGGTTCATTTCTATAGTATTAATAAATATCAGATGCATAGAGGCGTATATTGTTTATTTATTTAGCAGTGCACTGCAGGTGTTTTCCACAAGTGCCGAGTCAATATAGTTCATTTAGCTCGACACAAAAGAAGGCAACTTTGTATCCAGGAAGCCAAGCAGAGACTCCAAAAGAGACAAGTGCTTCTGTGGAACACCGCTACGTACTTCGGTTGGTCATTCTTATTTGCTCATTTTCGGTATTGTGCATCCCTTTCGAATGTAAGCTTACAAGGAACCAATATAAAATATACGTTAATTAGGAACAATGGGCGACATCCGACACTACATTAAGGTAGCTGCTTTTTCGGATTGTGCGATTGATCGCGCGGAGAAGGTTGTGCGTTCAGGTTCTTGATGTCAGTCTCATGAAATGGGAGCCAGTTCCTGGACCCCCGCTTCATGTCCTCCCTGTGTTATGCACCACTAGTGTAGACGCTTGGTCTCGAGGTGTTGAGCGACCAAGAGAGTGTCGTCGCGTGACTGCTAGGAACTAATGAATTTACGAACCCGGCTGTAGAAATGATCTTTGTCGTATTCACCGGAAGACATAATCTAGTGTGCTGGTTACAAGCACCTTCAAATTTGGAGGCGCCATGTATAAGCTTATTTAAAAATGTCAAGTTTTATTTCGATCGATCGATCAAACCGTCGGATGCAGAAGTGTGTTGTATCAGGAACGCAGCGAATGCGAACTTTAATCTCGACCTTCGAAACGCACGACACCGTGCAAGCGCCACCACGTCCTGCTATTGTGCAGTTTTGACGTGAAACTACTTACTTCTCCCCACTTGGAAAGGGGTGCAAAGTTGGGCGGTCGATGTCACGAAAATTAGTCACCAATTGTCACAAACCTTGGTTACGGAAGTGACGTCATGCACGTAAAAATAAATTTGGTAGAGGATGCAAAGTTGGGAAGTTGATGTCACGAAAACATGATCAACGGAAGTGACGTAACGTACGTCAAAATAAATTTGGAAGGGGCTGCAAAGTTGTGAAGTCCATGTCGCGAATACCTGGTCACGGGAGTGACGTCTCGCACGTCAAAAACAAAAAACAAACTCTGAAGTGATTTTGAACGCCGAAATAAGAAAACATGAGAACCTGCGAGCTCTCATGCCTGACGACTCACATCTCGCACCGCGGCATGCGAATGACGCGACGAAAAGGCCAGCAGCCCCAAACAACAGATATGAAGAAGTGGACAAGGCACGGCCTCTCTTATATCACCCCCATCTCATTTCTTGTGCTACGCACACCTTGTTCTACGGAAATTTATGCAGCATAGTACATGCATAGTTATTATAATGTACGCTAGAGGCTATACCGGCGCTAGTGTCTATGCGACTTCCGTGATGCAAATTGAAACAGACAGCAACCAGTCTACTTTTGCGGTGCTCCTGTGCATTCCTAGGGGAAAGCGCGAATTGCATTTTGTCACTTCGCAGTAAAATAACACGGAACACTTTGTTTATTTGGGTTGTACCGAATAGTATGTACATTGATTAACATTGTAAAAGTGTAATTGGTTTAGTTAGCGCATTTTGTTTTATCAGTGAACGATGTTTAACTTCACTACATTTCAGTCCCAAACATGTGTTCGGCAGCAGGTGTGTAAAAGCAAGCGAAAATTCAAAGCAAGGTTACAATCGAAAGGAATATAGAGTGTGCTCAAGGTTCTCCAGCATTCTCTGACGCTTGTCTATCGCTAATATGCCAGTCCTCTCACTATATGAAAATGACCCCGTCGTGCATGAGAGGATAAAAACATTAAAACATAAACAATAAAGTACGTGGGCTGTGAACGGTGTCTCTTCGTATCGTTTCCTCTGCCGGGCACCTTTATGCATGCATGCAAACACTTGTTCTCAAAGGTTTCGAGCGTGCGGGTGATATTTTGAACGTCGCGCAGAGCAGAAAGAATAAAGCGGTACTTACTTATTTAAAACCGGAATGTATTACGAGGCCTTCAATTTATTTTTCATCTTTCATGCACTGGTAGTTACTGATCTAGTGTTATTGCATGGTCCTTGCCATCTTTCTTGGCTTTCCAGATGTCCTTCGTTCGTTTGGCACGCGTATATCCCTCATGCTGAAAAGCGCCGACGTCGTGTTCGCGCTGACAGTGTCCGACTGTGCACATAAATACACGTATGAAACCGTCTTAGCACCGTTTTTAATGCAACAAATTTGAGCGATAAACGCCGTAACTGACCAATTATTTGTCGGCCTGACTAAGAAATGTTGCAAGCTACCTAGTTCGTACGAATTATTCGGGATATTTGCTTTTATGATTGAGCGTAGGGTGAAAATGCACTCACTTTTTCCCATAAAAATGCAGTAACAAAAGTCAATCTTGTCTGGTTGCTGTCTGCGTCAATTTGCGTTAGCACACTAGCGCCACTTAAATCCCTAGCGTACATTATAACAACCCTGTGTACACCCATGCACAGACATATGTTTTCTTTATGTTTTCTTTCGAAGTTGTTCGCAGCTGGGGGATTGTTTTAGAAGGGTTGCGGAACCACGGCTTGGGGTTCTTTTGTTTTCTTTGTTAGCCTTCTTTTGTTTTTGTTTCTGAGAGTTGTGCTTTGTGGCCGGCGGAGCTTGCAGCGCTGTTGTTTAGCAGCTGGACAACTTGGCTAACTCTCTTTCACCTCGGCATGCTTCACTAGTTTTTTTTCATGGCTATAAGTCTGTCGGCTCTAGTAATAATGCAATTCAGCATTAAAAAAAAAATAGTTGACGGTTCCATGTGTACGTTGATGGAGCATTACTACGCTGATGGTCGCAGTCAGTCGAAGTCAGAAAGTGTTCAGCTCTAACTAACTCAGCTCTGCAAGCAGGAAAGTCACCCATTGGGTGTAAAATTTGTAGTGAATCATTTTTTTTTTATAACTTAAATTTTTAGCCTGGCAGTAACCGATATATGTTTTCCTTCTGTTACCTAGAAAACTTGTGAGCAGCAAAAAATGATATGAATAATGTATTCACGCTGTTGATGTATTCACGCTTGCATGTTTTGAATAAACCAAAAAATGCAAGAGTTAAAAAATAGTTCAACATTAAATGATTCAGAATTAGATTAACGTATCCGGTCCCCTTAGGAGCGAACAACGAATCACTTGAGTTTCAATAGCGTCTTCTCAAAAACTAATCTATCTATTACATAATTTCCTCGTTTTATATTGCCTTTTTTACCCCAAGGTATATTCAGAGACGTCGAGAATGTCCGTGTTTATACAATCGTATAAAGCATTCCATCTTGAAAAAAGGGTATATTGAAATAAAGAAAAAACTATAACGTTTTATTGCTCGACATACATGCTACGAATAACGATAGAGAATAAACACTTTCATAAAGTTTGACTACGCTTATATTCTATGGTTTCTCGAACATTTACGACGTAAAAAAGAGAACTTCAGCACTAAACTTATCGTCAGCGGCTCACCTGTTCAACGGATTCGTCCTCATCTTCAGTTTTAGATGTTCTTGAATGCCTCTTCTCAATGGCTTCATTTCCGGCAAACTTCTGCACCAGGTCTTTCTGGGTGTTTCGAGTCCCCAAGAACAAGAGTTGGCGAGTACATGAGTACCACGTTTTAATAGGACACAAGAGAACGTTTGCTCCTTGCAACATAAATCTTGACCGTGCAATTCTAATAAACGCAATTGGTTAAGCCGACGCTTTTTCTTTATTTTTTTTACAAAAATATTGTTGTTTGTTTAAACCAAATTAAATGAAAGACGTGATTCTCCGTAATGCGAATTAGAACTAGGGCAGCTCTTGGGGAGGAGAAGGGGAGGGTATGCCCCTGCTCCCCCTCCGTATCCTCCCCTCTTCCTGTCCTGCTCCCCTCACATTTAGCGGGAACGTTTCTCTAAACTTCACGCTAAATAAAGCGAATATTTTGCGGCTAAAATTATTAGATAAATATTCCCGCTAAGTTTAGCGGAGAAACTGAATAGGCGTCGTCGTAACCGCGCTTTGCATTATGGAACATTTCCCATATTGACGTCCCACGTAATGCCCTCCCCCATGACGTTACCCTCGTGACGTCACACGTGATGTGACGTGTGACGTCATTATGGGAAACATCCCAAAGTGCAACGCGCAATTATACCGAGTGCGACGCCGACGTCAACGTTGACGCCAACGCGGACGCCGGTCAACCCAGAAACGGGCGCCTAAGTGCTGCGTTCTAAAACTAACACCTGCCATGTATGACCAGAAGTGTTTCGGAATGAGTCCTTGTCGTACCGGAACGCAAGAATGGGCACCACGGCATTATCAAACAGCTTAGGAAATGCACAGGTTACGCTCGATAACGAGGCAGCCGGGCACGCGCCGCCATAGAGGAAGTCGTGGAAAATCACAAGCACGTGGAAGCATTAGGGGAGTGAACAAACTGAAGAGGTGTGTATGTACCCAACAAACTTGCACGCTATATTGGTGCAGGTGTGTTATGCCTGAAAGAAACCCGGTGCATAAATTCTATTCTCACCATGCTGACGTGCTACCATAAAAAAAGAACAAGAAAAACACGTTTACTTGTGCTTTAGTTGTTTGCATCTTCCGACGAAAATAAAACAATTTAAGCTTGGTATTTATTGGAGGCAATGTAAGTCAAAATATTTACACTAGCCAAACCGACAATATTGAGTAAAAGACGGAAGTACTTCATTTTGGGCGCCATGTCATTTTATCGCAGCGTGCCGCCAGCGCATCTGACTTGGCACGCTATTTAGGTTATAGCGAAGAAGATGTACATGTACAGGGTACGTCAAAGTTATATCGAATAAAATTAAAAAAATGTCCATGGCATGCCAAAAGTTTAGAACCCATCACGCGCGTGGCCGGAGCGGGCTACTTTCCATACTGTGGCGCTGCTATTGTCGGCTCTGGCAGGCAGCGAGGGTCTTCAGAGTGAAGGGGAACTTAGCTCTGGAATAGAAATGACTTTGGCTCAAATCCTTTACAAACAATTTTGTTATTAAGCCGAGGTACGACACAAGAGTGAAGTTCCCTCTCACTCCCAAAACTCTCCCAACCAGCTGGCGCCGACTGTAGGAGCGTCGCCGCACGAAAGCGAGCCCGTTGCGGCCACTCGCCGGGACACCGGCTCTTAAACTTTCGTTAAAGACTGTGCCACACTACTCAATGCCTTGCAGGAGGCAGGACATTCTAGAATGTTTTCTTCATCAACTTTGGGTATTAGACGACAGAGGTACGACAAATCACCTATGAGTAGCTCAAACCTGCCCGCAAAAGTTATAATTACGTCACCTCTAACGGTGCCGTCCATCATAAAGTCGCAACGTGACCCCACATACTCAGACATAAAAATGTTCCTTAACATATTTTATTTACTTATATACATATTTCCGAAGAAGCACTTGAAGTTCAGTGATTTGCTTTTGGTTTCATTCGACCTATAAGAAAAATCGGGTTTCTCTTCAACCTCGAGTGCATCTATACTTCGTCTCACCCTGCGATGGACTAAAGGCAAAAGCTACGGACCACCAGATCCAATCACGAGCAACTTAGAAATTGTACGATATTTCGCTTCGATGCACGTATCGGTGCTCGAGTCTCAGATCACTGATGAGGGGACGGGTGGACAGTGGTTCGAACCGAAAAACACTGAGTGACTCAACAATTTTACATCTCAAAGAAGCGATGACATATAGGCTCTGTGCAGCGTCGAAGCTATAGAAACGATGCGGCGCTTTTGGATTTGAGCATTATTTGTCCGCCTTAATCAATGTTAGGCGTGTCATAGTATAGCGTGGAATGTGATTGGACCTGGCGGCCCGTGGCTTTGGCCTTTAGTCCATCGTAGGATGAGACAAAGTATAGCGCCTCGAATTCGGACACATTTAATTAGCTTCGTCGGATTGCGGGGGATAGCACTTTCGTTAATGAATAGTTGTTTCAATTCTTAGCGTGTTACAAGGGAGGAACTCGTTGTGGCACTTCGTGGTTTTACTTTGCTCCGTTCCACATTATGTTCAACTACGTCCTTCACCTACGCTACAACCCAGTTGCACATAACGTCCCCTAGTACTTCTTATTACATGTAACGACAACCAATATAAATGACGAATCCCATTGCGTTGGAACAAAATGGCGTCATTTAGTACTGTCTTCTGCTGTGCGCCGCCATTCGGTTCCTAAAACCTTCACCGTCACGCAGTCGGCGCTTAAAAAAATGTCGCTACTTGTAGGAAACCCTTATCCAGGATCTTCAGTCGCGCCGATCAAGCCGCGTCAAAATTAAGTGCGCCGTCACGACGCAGGTTGTCTTCGAACACAGTTCGAAGGACCGCAGGATCTCGGCGATTTCACTCTGCGTGATTGATCTAGTCGGTCATAGCAAACGCTCAAAGACGATGAGCGCCGTGTGCACCTTTTGCGCTGCGTGATTGACTGCATCGTTGGATGGACGGATGGATGGATGGCAGAGCCGTATATGTAGAGAGTTTGGCCATTCGTTGTGAAGTATAGGAGACAAATGAGGAGGTGCCATTGGCCGAAAGCGGGCTGGGCGTGTTCCAGGGCGTCTTCACAAATTCGAATGTGGCCAACCAGAAGCCGGAAATAATACCCTGGCGGTGGTCGCGGGAAACAAACCTGATAAGTGCATTGGAGTAACTCTCTGTGGCTGAAAATATGGTACACGTGATGTTTCAATCACGCTCATCTAAAATGATGGTGGAAGAGTGCGACTAGCGGAACGGTCGACATAATCCTTACGCCAAGCGCCGAGGGCCTGGAATCTGCCATCCGAGCGGTCACACTCTGTCCGAACAAAACAGAGTTGAGCGGCGCATTCGTTTCTTACATGTTTCCGCACGATCATGATCGAAACATCACGTGCGCGCTATTTTCAACCGCAAAGAGTTACTACACTTCACTCTTATGCGCTTATTAAAACCATATACGAACATATACCTTTGATCAGAACTGCTTCTCGCTACTACCGCTAGGGGATTGTTTTCGGCTCCTGGTTGGTCAAGAAAGCATGCCGAGCCCTTTTTCCGAGTGTGGTGCACGCCCTGGCTCTGTCCACGCCTCCCTTTGCCCACACTCTCTCTATACACGGCTCTGGTGGATCAGTGTTACTGGCCTTTGCAGCCGCGGTAGGTTGCGCCACCTAGCCTAAGTCTAAAAAGGCATACATAGGATTCCTTCCGCCCTTCTAAGCCAATTTTCTCCCCCAAACTGTCACCAGCGTCGATTGCGGGCAGACGCAAAGGGAAATGAGGTGTAAAATACTATCCGAAGGTGGGAACGCCATAAGAAAGCAACCGTGACACCGTTTCAAAAAGTGCTCTCTTTGAGACGGTTTTGCAATTGATCCTACTTTTATTACTTCGTGTCTCGTTTTTCTCCAGTGCTCACTAACGACTATCTTATTAGTTTCTTAGTGCATACCTATGAGTTAAGTTATACAAAGCAAAACTACCTTTTTCCAAGGACTTGAAATTGGGAAGACACCCGGAGTTTGCCAACCAATCTAATCATGATTGGATACTCGAGAGATGTACCTGTTAATTTGAACTAATTTTGTTCGGATGATACTGACTGCCCTAGTGATACAAATTGTACGAATGTGTTCAATAACCGCCCAATAACACGTATGGTTGTAGATGAAGTGTCATGCACAAATTACAATTATTAAGTGGAACTTCTCGTCTACCTATGAACTACCAGATAAAGTCTTATTCTTGCCGATTTCAAGCTAAATGTGTATATGGTTTCATGCAACGCCTTTTATGAGCACGTTGTTTGCAACGTATGATCCTAATGAGTTACCCGTTATTATCTTCCAGGAAAATGCACGTGATTGTGTGAAATCTACAGTCTCCACGAATAAAAAAAAACTGAAAAGTGAAATGAAAAAAACGGGGGGGGGGGGGGGGGGGCTGCTAGCGCTTTGGGCAGTCGACCCTTTCAGACATTTGGAGCCATTTAGTTGTAGAAATATCAGTCATAAAGACCGACCTCAGCAGCCAGTTTGGCTACGCCACTGGTGCCGTGATGCATCTAGGGAAGTTTAGTCTTTCTGCACGTGCCCCAAACTCGCTGGAGCTCAGCGCGTGCAGAACGCGAGACGGCACGAGGCGTCTCGAGCGCTGCCGCTTGCCTCTTGTGTGCTAAAGTTATGGTGGCCTCACGCATGCGCCGAACGCTTGGTGGTCTCGGTATATTGTTGTATGCTCATGGAAGATACATTCTGGTACCTATTTATTAACGATAGACGTGCGAAAGTTACGGTGTTTTTCGAGGAACTGTTATTTCTCTCTCTGCTTCAGTTTCGATGATGTAAAAAAACTGCGGCTCTGCACAAGGCGCTTATAGTTGAGCAAACGTCTTGATAAAATTAACATTTTATTGTCATGGCCTGTCTCGGGCGTGCTGAAGCCGAGTATTCCAAGGACATATGTGAGAGCCTCAAGTGCGTAGAACACAGAAGGTTGTAAGTCTCTTCAGAGTGACATCGTGCAACAATACCGCGAACTTCTGGATACCCATCACTCTACTCAGGCTCCGCATTGGTCTCTGTCTTCAAATTCTTCCTTTACCAGCCATCAAAAGGCCATCATTAGCCTGTACAGATATTACACACTTAGAGTATAATAGAAGTCGAAGTGGCCAGACTGAATTTTTGGAAAGAGTCTATTCCGCGTCGCTCCAAGGAAATGGATGAGGCCTCACTAATGCGCGCCATTACAGCCTTTCTAAGTTTTAGGGTCGATAGGTAATTGCCCGCAACGTGCGCCTCGCCCCCGTATGTCACCATCTCGACCCTGTTCTGAGAGCGTGTCTGGTATATTTATGGCAACTGCATTTACAGATGTATACAAGCTACCATAGCGCATCGAATCGAGATATGACGATTGTGACTGGGTAGAAAAAGAAGCCGAGGGAAGTGGTCTGGAGTAATTGGTTCCCTCTCAATTCGGTTCACTTTCGAAGCATTCATGTAAACGCAGCCTGTACATTGAATGTGCATAAACGAACATTCCACACAATCAATATCGCCAGCTCTGGCAGTATGAAACAAGAAGAACATTTTTAACATTTACTACAAACAACACTCTAAGGATTCCAATTCTGACACCGGAGAAACGCCTATCTTTGCACAAGTTTGGCAATCCTAGGGGTCGCCTAACTTCTACCTAATACGGTATTGTTAAGGAATGTAACTTAGTGGCTGAGTAGATTCCTTTGGCGTTTCTACTGCGTTTTTTTTTGTATCTCCATCATTTGACGAAGCCCCGGTCTTAACCAAAAGGAGCCAAAACCAGCAGTGAAGCCGAATGTCGCACAAGTTTGGTTATTTCTTCACAAAGGTGCTAGCTGACAGCCAAACTGCTTGCAGTGAAGCGTTGCTTTCGCGCCTGTTTGATAAATTAGCGGCAAGATTCCCAAAGTATGATCAAAGAAGGTGAAGTCTGTAGAGCCCTGAATTTCTAGAAAAAATACGTTTTAAAAGAATCACTGTGTTACATAGATTATAGCGTCTAGTAAATAAAGACCCATATATTAAAAACAAAATTTGATGGTTCATTGTTTCCACTTAAAGGCGTGCACTACACCCGAGTCGGTAAGCTGCATGCTCTGCACATGTTTACTTCCTACGAACGCGTTCAAGCTTCTCGTTACTGCGTAAAGCTCTAAACGCGTGCTTGATCAATTATAGTATCACTCCAGTATGACACAGTTTGCCCGAAACTTCACCCACGTACTCATTACCGCAAGCCACCCCCCGTCTGTGCTGAGCGAATTTTCCGCTAGCCAGACGCACATCATGTTGACGTAAGTTGAGATTGGCGTATACTGCTCATCGGAAAGGACAAGAGAGACTGGACTCAGAGAAACACAACTTTATCCTATCAGACCAGGAATAAACTGCTTGGCTAAGACCTTGCACTCCCCTCATACGTCCTAGGCCGCTTCCACATTTGTCTCTTCCACAAGCCTGCGCACCACGCAACTCGTCAGGGCTACTGCCTGAGCAATTTGATGCCATGGATGATCCGTGAGAGTGGTTATTTGGCGTTTTCTTTGCATGTCTCTCTCTATGACATGTACATGAATATTTCTTAACACAATGCTGTCAACAAGAATGTAACCACAGCCAGTGATGTAAAAATACGCGATATTCGGTGACGTCTTACCAGTCTGTATATCCATTGTGGTACTGTGATGTAAGCCATCATCTTCTTGTAGTCGAGGTAGCTGCAACACCGCACGAACTTGGTTAGAAAAATATAGTGAAGGTGCAACCAATTATCAAATATCTGGAATAGTAAGTCCTAGTTATTAAAAGTTTAGGGCCCCATATTTATTGTTCGAGTCGAATGGTGCAATATATGAAACACAATTTGACAAATAGACATATTAAACTTGTTCATTTCAGTGTAGGGATGATATATTCTCTTTTAAAAACGTATTACACGCATGCCACTCACGTTTCCTTCTCCAAGGGGTATTGCAAAGCCGCTAAGATAGTAGTTTTAGTCTTCTTATGTATCATGCCTTCTTCGAACTGTTTATTGTAGCACACCTGTTAACAAAATGATAGAGAGAAAAAAAATGAAAGCCTTTACAACTCCCTGTAACGCCGAACTAAAGCGCCGTTCTTGAGGAGGAGAAGGGAAGGGTACTGAGGGGAGGGTATACCCCCTCCCTCCTCCTCACCTCCTCATCCTGTCTGCTATTCCACCCTCCGAGCGGTGTCGCCGTCATCTCACAAGGGTCAGGTGACCTAGGAGGGTCTAGTGACGTCACCTGGGTCACGTGACCTCACGGGTCACGTGATCCTCCTGGAGCCACGTGACCCCTGTGAGGTCACGTGGCGGTAACACTAACGTCACCAGTGACGTTACGTGTGACGTCATCGTGGTGACGTCATCGACATCGTCACTGCTGACGTAACCAGTGACGTCACGCGTCCCATAATGCACCGCGTGGTTACGTCCACGGCGACGCCGACGCCGCTGAAGCCGGGAATGGGCGCCTAAAAGCCGCGCTGTAAAAGGAAGCTATTTTGAAATGAGTTTTGACTAAGTAGTTCGTGCTCAGGTTTTAATGTTACCCTCGTTGTGAATACACTGCAGAGTGTCCCAGGATGCACACTCATGTTGGATCAATGGTGCGCAACACATGGGTTAGATTGGATTGCAAGATTACACCCAATATTTGAGTGCAACCCACTACAACGACGAGTTCATGAGACTTCTGAGATGAGGCCTCTGACAATCCGGGATATCTTCCTTTATGATGTCAATATCGGTATTACAATTTACTCAATTAAATACCAATATCTCTACCCAATATTACACCATGCAATATGGGATTCAAATAATACTTCATGATTTTCAATATTTCTGTCCTGTGATAGGCTACTATTACCAATGTTGTTGTTGAATAATACGCTAGGATTACCGATATTCACATCTAGTATTATTCCACGATCTTTGTTACTGATATCCAATATTGCATTGTTTCATAACATTTTTATCAATTATCTTAAGATTTTATAAATATTTCAATTACACGGAGATTATTTAGGAACGAAAACGACGCGAATTATTTTAATTTTTACCTCTCCAAAGATTTGCACTGAAGCACGCTCAACTACGTTGCTCGGACTTGAAGACTACATTTATCACGTGCTTCACCCTTTTAAATGGTGTTAAGCCACCAGACCGATCTCACTAAGCGTTCGGCGCATGCGTGACGCCGCCGTAACTTTAGTTATCAGGAGGCATACGGCCGTACACGCGTACGCTCGTGCCTCTCGTGCTTTACACGCGCAGTGGTCCAGCGAGGTTGTCGGACGTGCAAAAAGACTAAAGTTCCCTGGATGCATTGCAGCAACGGTGGCTTAGTCAAACTGGCTGGTGAGATCGGTCTATTCTCGAATGCGCTTGCGAAGTTTAGGACTCGTGTAGGCAGTATGTCGTAAATTAACCTCATTCAAAAGACTTAGACCCGGGCGACAATATTTGCACGACTAATCAAACGTTATGAGTAGTCCGCGAACATCAACGAAATGGAGGAATGAAAATTAGCAGATTGACCTAAAACGCGTCTTTGAAAACGTTTTACAGACTGTTTGCGACGGGAGTTGAGCAAAAAGGTATTACTCGACGCCAGCACTCTTGAAGCGAAATCTCCTCAGGGTTGAGCGACTGAATCACCTCAGGGGTGAGCGTTGAGCTAAATGATCTCCTTTATATATCTGCATAGATCGCAAGTCCATCATGTGAGTTCGGATTAAGACCTTTATCAGCTGGCGGTATCCGTTTGGTTTACCGACACCTAACGAGTGCTTAGCCAACGCCACCTATATAAAAAGTAGTGCTACCTTTGCCACGTCACCTACCGAAGGGCAGTGCCAGTGCCCAATGAAACACAAATGCCGCATCGGTGTTCCGTTGGGACTAGTGTTATCACTGATTGAGTGCGAGTTTCAGCCGAGCGGTTGCGTAGCACTCGCGCCCAATAAGTGTCCTGCGATGGACCTCAGTATGTGATGCATCTAGCATATTTTCCTGATTCTAGTCAGCGGACTGTTTAAACGTTAAAATTAGGATACGCCAACTATTGCGGGCACATAGTTAATATAATAATCTAGAAGGAAAGTTCCCATGCGTTGGGGCCGTGGGGAACGGCGGTGCATAGACGAGAACATCGTCGGTCACAGTTGGTGGTACGGATTGGCCCATATCGCTGGCGACGCCTTAGCATGTACAAAGAAGCAGCAACATATAGCCTGTAAGGTCTGCACCCTTGTTCTCTACATTGCAGGAAAACACGGGAATCGCGGGTGGTATGAAATTAAATAAAGTTCACCAGCGCTCGAGCAACTTTGGCGATGGTCTCGGCAAAACGGACACGCATATTGTTTCAACTGCGTTCTTTCTTTGCTCCTTTGTTGCTCTCTTTCTCGTTCTTTCTCCTGGGACCGCAGATGTAAGCGCCCAGGATCTGCCGCGTTCTGCTCCCGTCTTTAACCATCTAACTACAGGTGCAAATAATACATGCATCTTTTTTTTTTTGGAAACGTTATTTCTGACCAGTCGTAACGAATTGTGCGGAAGACAGAGTACGTTAGTCATGATTTGTGTATAATCAAAGCTCTTTTTTTTTTGCCTAATACAGCACGCATTTTTTAAAGTCTGCTGCGTATGAGAAGATTTTTACGTTACAATTAAAAACCAGGTGCAGACAATGCACCAGGTGCGTACTATGGCCCAGAAAGGTGGTGGGTGGCGCTGGCACCTTTAAGAGCTGAAAATTGATCAAGCAACTTTGGAAAATAACATTTTTCCGCCACTTGGGTGTTGCCTGGAGGGGGAATCTTCCAATTTTGTTCTAAGTTAAACTAAAACAAATATCTTGTTTTGTTCAGTTTTCCACAAATCTGTGCTTTTGTGAACAACCTTTTGCAGCCTGAGGATGGAGCAGCTGGCCTTCCGGGCAGCCGCGTTTCGGTAGACACGGTCAGGGACGTAGACGTTGGTCTGCTCCACCTGCGGGGTTCAGGGTTTAGGGCGTCTGCTTTGATGCCAGTAGAGCCACGAACTGAGCCACGCTTAGATTATCAAGACAAAATTCCCCGATCTTGTTCTGGGCCCCGCCATCTTGCTTTGTTAGTGAAGAGGAAATGAAATTGGCGATTGCTACGATTTTATAATGCCACTTAATGAGACTCCGATACGGCATCAGGAACTGAGGAAGCTCTTGCGATATACTTTTGCTCTGTCGCAAGCCTTTTTTAACATTTATGTTGGACAAGAATTCGTCGAATAAAAGGTTAAAGAAGCGCGAACAAACAGTGACAATAAAGTTTGTTTCGCGTTTTTTTTAATTTTTCTTCAGTAATAGACAACTAGCCCGAACCCAAGTTTTATGGAATTTGGTTTCTTTGATTTCAAATAAATTTTGAGATATCTGGCGGCGATGATTTTATGTACCAAGATGGCTGAGGTGTTACTCTAAAGGATGACTTATTTAGCGGCTGTGGATGCCTCTTACGAGCAGAATCTAATCACGTTTGTAGCACCCGCTAGGTTGTTGTCCTAGGCTTGTTTTTAACGAGGCTGGCAATTTTCGGTTGTTTCCTCCGTTAGTGGTTTTCTCAACACACCAAAAGTGATAGCTAAAAAAGCTCTCCTGCAAGATACCGGTTAACCTCACGTAAATACTCCCAAAAACAATCCTACGGCTTACAAAAAAACAAAAAAAAAATCATGTGTGTGATTAGGTCACCTCGTTGTATCAAACTCGACCTCTCGTACAGCAGAGTGCAGCAATGTCCAAGCGAAGCAATATAAACGACCTGGCTGCTACCAAACGCATATTTATTAAATGGTGTATAGGACGGACTGACAGAGTAATAACCCGCCGTATTCTTTAAGGGAGTGCTTCGCGCTATGCGACCAAAAACATATCAATGCAAACAAGATGTTACTAAGCGAAAAGTTAGTTTTTTTTATTTTTATTTTGACAAAACTGAAGGAAGCAATTAATTTAAGGTTAGCAGGATAGTATCTAAAATGAAGATATTACGGTCACGACATACTGTATATAGAGATATTTGAGCTGATTTTTTCTGTCTTTTCAAACGAACAGTTTTATATTTCAGCAGTATGAAGCTGTCAAGGTTTGAATTCGTTCGTTGCCATGCAGTGGAGACATCAAATAGCGTCTTCGCGTTCATTACAATTTAAAAGTAAAAAAAAAAAAAATGGGCTGAATACAAACTAGGCAGGAGGTTGGACAGTAACGCCCCTAGCGGCGCACTTCAATTATGATGAAATTAAACTTAAATAGCTTGAATGTTTCTGATTCAGCTTTCTCCCGGCGTAACCCACAATGTTCGGCGAAGAGAGGTGATCAAATGAAACACCGTTTACCTAGGATGCGAAAGCTACTGCCATTTGCCATTTTTGTTTAATTTATGTCTCGCGTTTGTTCAGAATAGATGTCCTATTATTAAGACGGAAATATGTTCTGGGTAAACGTCGAGCTGAGTTGCGAGCAAGCTGTACAAAACGGGAATTATAGTTTGATATTATCGATTCAAAGTGTGCTACCCAATATTCAGCTTCGAACATGAATTCGGGATAATATATTTGCAAGGGGCAGAAATAACCCCAAAAATGCACAATTAACACTTAGTGTTTTGGAAACTGGTTAAATGCATGCCCAAGATCTCTAAAGCTGTAGCAAGTATATGGTATTATTGAAACGTAGAAGTCGTAGTTTCGTAACTGCCCTTGACACAAAGGCAGGATCAAATCAGGAATTTATAGGGTATATAGATTTTGTTCATGATCCAGAATATCTCGAACCTCGTTTTACAGTATTGCTTACTGTTGTGTGTTTATGGGAAAGAGAAGTCTTGGCTCTTAGAAAAAATCTTAGTTGGAAGTAAAGAAATGACACTTCTTGCTTTACAGAAAACGCTTCTGGCCAATAAGATACAACTTCCTCCTACAAATACAAAAATGTTGAGTTAAAAAAAAACGGAAATCAAATTTACGTCAATACACTTGAAATACGAACTATTAATGTAGTAGCGTAGAAGACGACAAAGACTCGAGACATAGGACCGTGCTGGGGCTCACGTGAATCGAGAAATTCGGATCCTGGCGCGTATGAAGAATGGTCTTCGCAGTGCAGTTCTCGGGCCCAAAGTAAAGTGCATTTAGCCTGTCTTACGGGTCCGTGTCCACTTTGCTACAAATTGGCGACGACGATTCCTGGAGAATTCCTGGAGAACGGCTGAAAATGATGAATGCATCGGGCGAGACATCGCAGCGAGCAACATCGAACGTCTTCCGGTTCATGGAACCAGGACCATTCGACCCGGAAAAAGAGGACTGGAACTTATACCAAATAAGGTTCCAAGCATCTCTGGACATTGCCGGAACAACAGATGATGCCACAAAAAGGAACTTTCTGATTGCATCTCTGGGGTCCGAGACGTTCAAGCTGCTGCACTCTCTGGTTCAGTCGAGGCAGGTCAGTGAAGTTCCGTATGCGGAATTGATAAAAACACTGGACACTCATTTTTTGCCGAAGCGTTTCAAGGAGTTTGAACGAGCGAAGTTGTTTTCAACACGCCAGGAGGAACGTGAGATACCAACCGAATTCCTACACGACTACGATCAGTCATTTACTACTGCGAGTACGAGAACGAAGTCGATGCTTGGGCATGTTCGTTGCTCACTGCTTCCATAATTGGACTTCGAGATCAACGCTTGAGGGCACGTCTCGTCTAAGAGAAAGAGTTGTCGATCGACATTGCACTCAGATTGTCGGAAAGCTTTCTTCGAGCGGAAGAAGAGTCCCGTCAATTGGGAAGTGTCGCAGAATCACCCATCGCAGTCAGCCAGGTGAGAGATCTACACAGGTCTACTAGACAATGTTTCCGTTGCGGGAATACAAACCATGTCGAAGACAAGTGCCGGTTCAAGTCTGAAGATTGCAGAGCTTGTGGAACCAAAGGGCACATTGCCAAGATGTGCAGAAAAGGACAGTTTGGCAAATCCCGATCAACCAGGTAAGGGACGGTACAAGTAATCATCAGGGTTCAGTCCGTTTTCGATCGAGATGGCATGTTTCTGGAATGTCAGATTGAAGGCAAGCGCGTGGAACTCCAAATGGACACGGGTTCACAAGTCACCTTAGTGGACATTCAGACATGGCATCGCCTCGGAAAACCAAAGCTGAACGAAACTCCGTACAAACTGCAAAGTTTCAGTAAAGAGGTCATCAAGGTCAAAGGCCAATGTGAGCTTCAGGTTGAATTTGAAGGCAAGAAGTACAGTCTAGAGGCTATTTTTACTAACACAAGCCAAGTTAACTTGTTGGGGAGGATTTGGGTGAGAGCTCTGAAATTGAATCTCAACAACTTGTTCGTCGCTCTTGTGAAAATAGAAGAGAACCTCAAGACGCTGCTGACTAGGTACGCAGTACTATTCAGAAACGAACTTGGTCGGTGCACGAAGATCAAGGCTCAACTTCACTTCAAAGAGAATGTCATCCCGAAGTTAATGTGGCCAAGACCACTACCGTTTGCATTGCGCGAAGCGGCAGAGTCAGACTTGACGAGACAAGTAGCCAACGGCGTATTGACTCCAGTGGAAACAGCGCAGTGGGCCACTCCGATCATCGTTGTCCCGAAGACCAGTGGATCCGTGAGGGTATGCAGAGATTTCAGCGTGACCGTCAATCCTCAGTTGAACGTCGCGCAGTAACCGCTCCCACGACCCGAGGAACTTTTCTCGAAAATCAACGGAGGGCGGAAGTTCTGGAAACTGGATCTGTCGGAGGCATATCTTCAGATGGAGCTGGAGGAGGATAGAAAAAAGTATCTCGTCATAAACGCTCACCAGGGATTGTTGCAGTTTAACCGGATGCCATTTGACATATCATCAGCGCCTGCCATCTTCCAGCGAACGATGGAACAAGTAACCGCTGGCCTGGGAAGCGTGGCATGCTAGCTGGATGATATAATCGTCACCGGAGAAACTGATCCGCTGCACACCAAGAACTTGGAGCTCGTGTTCCTACCACTCAAAGACTATAAGTTCACGCTAAAAAAAGAGAAATGTGCGTTTATGTATCCTGAAGTGGAATATTTGGGTCAGATATTATCAGCGAAAGGAATACGTTCCTCTCAAGGAAAAGTTGGAGCCATACTGAACATGCCGGCGCCGTCTAACCTACATGACCTACGGGCATTTTTGGTCATGGTTCAGTACTACGCAAAGTGTTTGCCAGGGTTAGCCGACGCGTGCGCACCGCTGAGTAATCTACTCAAGAAGAATGTCCCTTGGCAATGGAGTTTGCGTTGCGTAGAAGCCTTCGAAGACATCAAGACGCGTCTAACGTCCATGGAGACTCTTGTTCACTTTGATCCAAGCGAGACAGTCTATTTGGCGACTGATGCTTCATCAGTTGGCGTCAGAGCGGTCATCTTCCACAAGATAAAAGGAAAGGAACGCCCGATTGCGCATGCATCAAAAACGCTAACTTCCGCGGAGAAACGGTATGCCCAGATTGAGCGAGAAGCTCTAGCCACAATTTTTGGCGTAAAGAAGTTTCATCCGTATCTGTGGGGAAGAAGATTGTCTTGTATACAGATCACAAACCATTGACAGTGATTTTTGGTCCAGAAAAAGGAATCCCTGTGACGGCTGCCAACAGACTTCAACGGTTGGCCTTGATCTTACAAGGGTACTCGTACGACATTAAGTATACTCCAACAACTCAGTTTGGAAACGCTGATGGCTTGTCACGACTACCTCAAGGACCTGATGCGGAGTTTGACGCGGAAGTTCAACATGGAGTCGCCGATGTTGTGAGCTTCATTTCTTCGGACGTCATGGCAATTGTTGACGAAAATATGACCAAACTTCCAGTCAGGGCATCCGGCATCGCGGCGGAGACTGCTAAAGACAAGACACTGTCGAAGGTCTACCGGTACGTCATGGAAGGATGGCCATCGGTTGAACGCGACGCAGAAATGCAACCGTACGCATCGAGACAGTCAGAACTCACTGTGGAAAATGCCTGCCTAGTTTGGGGCATGCGCACAGTGATCCCTCTTAGGTTTCGACGTAGTCTTCTGGATTTTATATACGAAGGACACCTTGGACAATAAAAAATGAAGATGTTTGCCCGTTCCTACGTGTGGTGGCCAAACATGGACAAAGACATTGAAGCGAAAAGTCGGGCCAGCGAAGCATGTGCTTCAGTCTCTGACAGGAAAGAAAATGTTCCCCTACACCAATGGGAAGTGCCAAAACGACCCTGGTACCGAATCCATACAAATTTCGCAGAATACCAGAACAACATGTACGTGGTGGTGATCGACGCCTACAGCAAGTCGCCTGAAGTCACTTTGATGCCGTCGACCAGAGCTGAGCGGACGGTGGAGACATTCAAGGAAATCTTCCTTGTTCACAGACTGCCGGAGCAGGTAGTCAGCGATAATGGACCACAGTATACTAGTGCCATTTTTAAGAATTTTCTAGAGGAACAAGGAATTCGGCACACCTTAACACCACCGTACCACCCTCAGTCAAACGGCTTAGCCGAAAACTTTGTGAGGACACTTAAGTCTGCCTTGCGAAAATTCAAGAAGGGAGAGGAAAAGGAAGGACTGAGACAGTTCCTCCTCAAGTATAGGGTGACACCACACTCTACGACGGGACAACCCCCATGCGAGATGCTAAACAAGCGACACTATAGAACGACGATGGATTTGATTAAGTCAGGCCAGTCGTCGGAAGGTTCTCGTAAGCGGGTTCGCCAAAAGAGCAACTACGACAAGAGAAGTCGCGACCGGACGTTTCATATAAATCAGAAAGTCTGGATGCAAGATAGGTTGAAGAAAAACCACTGGATCAAAGGTGTGATCATCAGCCAGGAAGGACGACTTATGTTTGAAGTACTGACGGAAGATCACAAGCGACACCGGGTGCACGCAGATCAGATAAAGAAACGAATCTACGAAGAAGACTGGACCGCATTGTACGCCCCAACGCCGGTGGACAACGCTTGCGCACTTGAACCACCGCGAGCAGAAGCAGATGCATCGGACACAACTCTGCAACAATCAGTTGATGTGTCCGAGTCCACTGCGGTTCGTCGGTATCCGACCAGACTACGCAAAGCACCTGATGTCTTCACATTCGCCTGAGGAGGGAGGAATGTAGTAGTATAGAAGACGAGAAAGACTCGAGACATAGGACCGTGCTGCGCACACGTGAATCGAGGGATTCGGATCCTGGCGCGTAAGAAGAACGGTCTTCGCAGTGCGGTTCTCGGGCCCAAAGTAAAGTGCATTTAGCCTGTCATACGTGTCCGTGTCCACTCCGCTACAATTAATATGGCATAGCTCTTTCAAAGCATAAGTACGATTTAATTTTATTTAAATCGAAATTAAAATAGTTCAATACTTCACAAAAAAAAAATATCGCATAAGTCGTTTTTTTTTTTTAAGCTTGAGGGTCGCGAATATTAAAACTATATTTCATGTTGATGCGCGAAGTATTCAAAGAACCAATTCCGAAAATTGCGCTAAAGCGTCTCTTTCTCGGTGCATACGGAGGTAGGAGAGAATGGTGCCGTGTCATATAAAGATATCAACATATACGCACCTTCCACCTGCCTTACCCGAGCGATAAATATCGCTGCACCCATCTCTCACAAGCAGCAATCTCATGGCAGTTGAAATCTCTCAGTATGACGTCAAACCCAGCGATTGTTTTTTTTTTTTTTTTGTTGCTTTGTTTGCGTATTGATACGATAGCATCAAAAGTTTGCGGTATTCAAGTTAACGGGAAAAGATACGCAAGAAATATTTCTAAGTCGTTTTTTTAAGAAGCTCTTTCAGCTTCTCGTTAAACAACTTCCCTTTTGACTCGATCGAAAAGACACCTGTAATCGATCTGTCAAGTAGCGTCAAATATTAAGATATAAATGCGGCTAAAGCGAATGGAAGTGAATTTTGCAGGCTCCTCATCAGCAAACAGAGACGGCATAGTAATAAATGCGTAAAAAGTAACAGAATCTACAGCAAGTATGGACAAAGCGTTGTAACGGAATCATGCGTTGTTTATTTTGGAATTTGAAACTCACGTGCTCCTCTTCCTCGACGCCGACGTGGGGGTTGTCTATGTACGTGTGCATCTGCACCCACTTCCAGTCGGCGCCCGAGAACTTCTTGTCTCTGCGCTGGTAGTCGGTAGAGAGGCGAGCCGTCTCGCGCAGCGCCTGGATCACCATGCTCATGTTGGCCCTCTCCACGTCCGATACTCTCATCAGACCTGGGGGCAGGACGCGTGCGCGCGACGTCGAGCAGCTAGGGGCAGCAAGCGCGCACCATGGTCGCCAGAAGTGTAGGAAACACCGGGCATGGCGAGTGTCTGGCACCTCATTATCCCTCCACAGCCAATGAGAATTCGGCATTTTCCGATAATAATACCGAAGAACCAGTCATGAAGCAAGGAGCTTAATCATATGAAACCACGCGCTGAGTTTCTTCGCTTCTCAGCGGCTATCAAGTCCGTAGCAGGAAGTCTCAGAGCTCCAGCCTGTTGATATGATCGGTAATTCGCCGTCGTTTCGAACTGCGTTCAAGACGCTTCAAGTCACGTGTTCATGGGCGCCGCCATTGCCGACATTCAGTTTCTGTGGCTTTTTATTCCGTTTACTGCACTTTATCATTATCGTAACACCCCAGGGTATCGCAATTTTATATTCTACTCTGTCCTTCTCCCCAGCCTTGGCTTTTGTGGAGGCTCGTCAACTCCCGTTTCAGTGGCTTGGCATTTCGGTAAGGCAAGAGAAGGTCAGCAATGGCGGCTGTAATTGGGCGCTTTTGTAAAGCGTCTATGGGCTCGCACCTTTCGTTTTGTGACCAGAAGCAGTTTGCTGGTGAATGCGGCTCTCTTCCGATGGGTAAAATAGCAACAAGAAGGATTATCTGGTCAGATGACCGGCTTTAGGGCAACAAAATACCTAAAAATCAAAAACTCCGCAAGGACAGAACGAGCGGGTTTGTATGGATAATTAAACGTGGGGAAGAAAACGTCCGTCCTTTCTCGTTTTCTTCCTCAAGTTTAAAAACTCCGCGTTGACTAATTTCTGCTCCGTTGTCTAAGGCAGCATAGCTCCCACAGTGCTGCAACTCTGCACTGATGCTAGGCACGTGGCTTTTTGTGGCGCTTTATTATCACACGCGCTTTGCACGAAAGAGACAGAAAACGAAGCGACGCGCTCGCGCAAGTAGTTTTGACAAGATTTGGAACACCCGAGAAGCGGTGCCAGCCTTAACTATTGGCGACGTGCGCGATCAAAAGCGTCGCTGTTCTCGGCCTTATACGATTGGCCAAATGCCAACTATGACGTCGGCAAAAGATTTTTCATCGACGAGAATAAGATTAATGTAGGAACTTCAATTTTGATGGTGTTGGCAGTGTTGGTTCCAGAGCGCTATGATTTCGAGCTTCCACCATGCTCATTAGAAACATCATCAAACTTCTGGTCGCAAGGTAATGACGTCACGATAGGTAACCATATGGGGGCGGTACAAACAATACATCTCGCCGCTAATACTCCGATCACCCTTAAAGTCCCTGCGCACAGTTGCGTTCGAAGTGAGTGCGTTCGACTGCGTTGTGTCAAAGGACGAAAGCGAGTCACCCTGGGACAGATCTGTGCTTCGAATGAAGCGGGGAATCTAATTCAAGGAATAGCTTGGCACGCCATATAAGTTGGAGGGGTGTCCAGGGTTCTCGCTGCTGCAACGCATTTAAACGCACTCATGGACCCCCACGCACGAGTTTGACAGCGTTCCAGAGTGCCTAATTGCGTTGCTGCTACCAGAAACCGGGACATCCTTGCTTCTTATGTTGCGTGCTAAGCTACTCCCTGAATTGGATTCCACGGTTCACACGAAGCACAGATGTGCCGGTGACTCTCTTTCATCTCTCGGCGCAGCGCAATAAAACGCTCTCACACGCTCTCAAACGCAAATGTGCTTAGGGGCCTTCAGACGCTCTAAGAAACGCAACTGTGCGTCAATGCAGCTAAGTTGAGACTGCAGCCAATGCAACAAGCACGAGAGCACGATGTCACTGTTTCGAACCATCCTTCCGGAGAACGACCGTACGCGCTAGGAAAGCTCGTTTAAAAGCCAGGAGTAAGGCCTAGACCGCGCTTGTAGCTTTGGCTGTTGTCTCAGCTTAAAGGGGTAGATAGGTGCCGATAGGTGTCGACCCTGGCGCATTGGCCGTAGGATGTGCATGGTGGTGGATGTGCGCGTGCACCGCGTGCACGCGCACGTTCGGCGGCACGTGCGGACTGCAGCGACTTTGTGCTGCCCTGTGGACTGCAGCGGCGCGATTGTTTTCTGCACGCGCAGCCTCACAAGTGCCCATTGTCGAGTCGCGCCAGTCATAAACACCATACCCGAATCCTAGTACAATGTAACGTGACCGGTAGCTCTCTAACCCTTGTTTCAAAGCCGGTCAGCAAGAAGCGCAATGCGTATCGAGCTCTTGAAGTCAATAGTTACTGCACGTCCAAAGGGGCTGTAGTTGCGAGCGTTTGCGTTTGGTGGCGTCAACGCGTGACAATCTCACCGAGTTGTAATATCCGAGGACTGTTCGCCTTGTGGCCTATTGACCCGTTGCTCTCGGGCAGAGGGCGCGAGCGCGTCCTCAAGACCTGACTATGTTATGCATATACTAACCATATATATATGCACATATCAGCATCCGCAAAAACGCAACAACAAAACTTTTTTTTTTAATTATGCAGCTTGCAGTTTTTACGTTCCATTAAGGATTTGTTCAGCTTTATAATTTGTATTGCTTTCTGTCATAGCTTCCGCGGGCATGAATGTTTCACTTTAGCTGCTAGCAAAGCCAAAGCTACTCGCAAAAGTATGTTCGCCGGAGCGGTGCCCGCACTGCACGAGCGTGGGTGCTTGGCAGGAAAACTGAAAAGCTCGGAGCTCGCTCTTGTGGCCTCTGCTACGTTGACACTTAGAATGGAACAAAGTATAAACACTCTAGTGGGGAAAGCGTAATGACGCATGTCCGAAACACGGGCCACAGATATTCTATTTTGCTCGCCTGGAGCGCTGCTCATAACTTGAGTGCTACGGGCCAATAGATAGCTTGCGCGTAACGACATTTGCGGCCAAGCCGGTATTTTATGTGGCACCAGCGTTCGGCTCACCGTGTTCGTCTCACACCGAAGATGTAGTAGCGCGAGGGAACGAGTAAGTAGAAATAATCGTCAGTACTCAGCAATGGAGACACCTGCAAGTTGTGTATAAAACGTTTTCACTGGGTGCCAGATTTGAGCCCATCCTATAAATATTCACGGGGCATACGGGGGAGTAAACGGTTGTGGGGGTGTGGCAGAGGTTCCCGCATCCTCAGATCAAGCCCTTATCTAACGTCTGCAATTAAAGGGCGATTTTGATGGTGTGGAATGCACGTTGCTGAAACACCATGGAAGCTTTAATGTGTACAGCGTAGTAAACGCGTTAGCATTCGCCGCTGAATCACTCTCAAGACTAAGTATCTCCACGAGGAAGCCATACTGCCGCGAACTGGCCCTGCTTCTAAGGGACTCATAACCTGGTGGCATTCAAACGGAGCTTCCCAGACCGCCATCAGACGCTATTTAGGACCATTCTGATGTTAGCCTGAGACTGAGGCAGGAAAAGAGGAAGTTTCAAAGTAGAAGAAAAAGGAACAGTCGAGGATACGTCTCTAACACAGCTAAAGACAAGTTTATTCGGTCACCCTCTTATATACACTCCACAATCTTCACCACAGAACCTTCGCGACCTCCAAAGCCAAAAGATAACAAAGAACTCATCTCTTTCCACCACAATAATCAAACGTCCTTGACAATCCTACAAAGCCCCCTCACCAACACAACCTAGCTCCTCTCTCCCGGAAGACGATCGACCTTCGCGTACATAGCACACCCTCCTCCTCTCCTCCCCGGCCCACAAACCCGAAACAACCCGGCAACAAAAGATACCAAACCACCTGATCCAAACCGAAGACACAAAGGAGGAAACCACTTACACCCTTTCACAAACAACAACCACTTAACAAAACTCTCAAATCCGCAAGAAGGTTTTTGCACTGCTGCTAAGCTGTAACGACACTTGACTAATGCAGTTGCCCATTGATTCCATTCTTATTGTTTCCTTTACAACCCTTTTGATGTCGTTTAGTTCCCTGTGTATTATTTCTGTTTCGGACCAGCGTGGTATACAATTATTACATTCTTGAACATGTTTCGCTATTTCCGAATCAGTCGCGTTGTTTTTGACATTTCTTTTGTGTTCAGTCAATCTATCATTTATACACCTCGACGTTTGACCCACATACTTAAAACCACATTCCAGGGGAATTTCGTATACCACTCCATTATCACACGGAATAGACTTTTCTCGATGCATTTTTGTGCATTCCCTTACACTCTTGTGGAAGGGCGTGAGCTTACTCAACTTATAGTCGGAACTAAAAACCAGATCAACATCGAACTTTTTTGCACAAGCCTTCAAGTTGTGAGAAATTTTGTGATAGTACGGAATTACAGTAGTTCTATGTTTTGGCTTTTGCTTTGGTTCTCCTCTACATTTGTCTGCGAATCTTACGGATAACTGCTTCCCTACGAATTCATCCTGATAACCAGCACTGTTTAGCCTTCTCCACTGCCTTTTCACTGATTCAGCCAAGAAATGAGTACATGATCTGTCCATTACATTTGTGATTAAAGACTTGACAATACCTGCTTTGACTGTTTTTGAATGGCAACTGTTTTTTGATAGCAGCGGTTTTGCGTTTTCTTTTCCATATTCCCAACATAGCCCTTTTTCATTGTGAATCATAAGCTCTAAAAACTGCAGTTTACCATTCATGGGTCGTTCGACTGTAAACCTCAGTTCCGGGGCAGCCGATCTGATCAATGCTTCCAGAGTGTCGGATAATCCCTCCCGAAAAGAACAGATCAAAATGTCATCGACATATCTTTTCACAAAACAGGATTCCGACGTCAGTTCTTGCAACTTATCAGATACAATGCAATCCAAAGAATTTAGGTAAATTTCCGCTAACGCCGGTGCTACACTCGACCCAATGCATACTCCCTCTTTCTGTAAATACTTTTTTCCTTGATACTCTACTATTGTTGACTGCAAGTAATAATCAAGAACGGCATACGGTTGAAAACTGTCCTCCTGATGCTGTTCCAAATGATGTAGTCCCTGTGCCGCTTGAAATCACCTCCCACC